ATATTATAACAATATAATATTGTCAGGTGTTAGAATATAAAGAGTATAGTTAACGGGGAAAAAGTAGGCAAGATGAACCTTATAAATAGATTAGAACTATAAACCTTATGGATAGATTCCTCTTATAGATGGAAAGTATAACAGCTGCTCTGGATATGATTTAGAGGTTATTAGAAGTGACTCCTGCTTCAAAGCAACTCCTTCTATCCATTTTAGTAATCCTACCAATTGCAATCCATTAAAAAAAATTTTTTTTTTAATTCTTAAGAGGTCGTATTTGACTTCTAAGCCCCATATTTTTTTTCATTTCCTTACCATACAGTTTTAAACATACATGTCATATAACTGTCTTTGTGAGTGCCTTACCTTTACTGCTAGGTCATAAGTTAAATGTAATAAATTAAAGTTTCTGATACCTGGATCGTTGAGAGCATTCAGTGACTGTTTACTGAAACTGCATCCTTTAGGAAAATTATTATGTTATATATATATATGTGTGTGTGTGTGTGTGTATACACACACATATCTTTACTGTTCTTTAGCCCTTGGTTCAATCCTTTGGCCCTGCAAGATGTTTAGTATGTATCATTGAGCAAATCCTTGGGAAGGTGTGGAACCTCAGGCATTAACCAGAAAAGCAATATGAAGTTGAATCTTAAGAAGCTGGGATCAGGAGTTTTAGGATGAAAGATTCTGAACTCAGCTTTCCTAATAGACCAATGTGGACTCAGCCCCACAGTCATTTTAGACTGAGCATAAACCTAAGTATATGAATGCTTTCTATTACTAAAGAAACTATATGCAGTGATTAAGGAAAGGCAAAGAAGCTACACTGTGTGCTTTACATACTTACCTCATTTAATAAAACTAAAACTGGAAGCCATAGAAAGCACAAAGTCCAAGCTTATTAAAAAAATCAAAAAAATTTTTAAGAGTTTTTTTTTTTTTAAGCAGAAAATAAACAACTAGGGTTTAAAATTCAAGTAAAGGTTTGTGTTAAGACTCCTTTGTGTATTTTATTTATTTTCTCAAAACCTAACTTGAACTCTTGTCCCATTGATTAAGAGACAGGTTGATCCATTGGCTAAAGGGTCAAAGAAAAGTGGAATTCCATATGAATCCCAAAGAGAAGAACAGGTTTGTTTCTCACCCTATAAGTTTCTGTTTTTGAGGGGAAAAAAGGGGAAAAAAGATGAAAGAAATTGAGCTGAAGGATGAGGTTAAGTCTCACCTTGTAGTCTACCTGTTAACACTTCATTGCTATGTCATTAAGATGAGTAGGTGGAGGTTTTGGGTTCCAGACTTTATTTTTTCTTAAATTTGAATGTCTTTCCAAGAGCTCCTGGACTTTGTATTATAATCTCCAGATACTTGGCAATAATTTTCAGCTACCATAACCTGTTTCATATTTTTTTTTGGCAGTGGCTGATGGAGAAAATGTTGTTTTAAGAGAAATGATTACTATGGAGATGAAGTTAGATAGGTCAAGAGATGAAATAGTGAAAAAAATAAGCAACCTAATGATTAGAATCTCTATTCTTAAAGAATGTGTTTTCAAAATGAGGGAAATACTATATTTTATTTTTCCATGTTAATCATTAGTATATCTTATATGCAGTACAAAACTGTGGTAGAAAATATGTTCAACAGCTCCTATTATGTAATACCAACTCATAAATACTTGATATATCTGAATTGTGCAGACATATCTAATGTATCATCATATTGTGAATGTTGCTTTTTATGCCTGCTAACTTTTTTTTTTCCTGACTTCCTCTTTTCTCACTTTTGGCTTTATTTAAAAATATTTATTCATCTCTTTTTTGTGTACAATTCCGTGTATAAATATAATGAGTATAATAAATGCTTGTGTTAGAGGCACCTACCGGTAGGAAGATAAGGTGTCCTGGTGGCTCAGATGGTATAGAATCTGCCTGCAGTGCGGGAGGCCCAGGTTTGATCCCTGGGTGAGGAAGCTCCCCTGGAGAAGGGAATGGCAACTCACCCCAGTATTCTTGCCTGGAGAATTCCATGGACAGAGGCGCCTGGCGGGCTACAGTCCGTGGGGTCACAAAGAATAGGACACAACTGAGTGGCTAACACTTTCACTTCACTTTCACCAGGAGGAAGATAAGGCATGTAAAGAAAAGAAATTAGTCTATAAAAACTTAAGTAGTCCAATGAGGTCCACCAAGTAGGTTCATCAAGAAAGGTTTTTATAATGGATGGAGATATCTGACCTAGTTCTTCCACCAATTCATTTATTCATGTTTTTCACTCATTTATTACAATTACACTTGAGAATCTACAGTTTTCCCAGCATATTTATAGTCACTAAGAGTTCAGAGGTAAATAATATAACTCTAGTCTGTGTTGTACAGATAATAAAGAAAATATCCAATTAACAAGATTATACACCAATTATAGAATTGTACTAAATGTTACAAAGAAGACCTAGAAAATGCTATGAGATCATATAGTCAGAGATCTAATTTAGAGATCACAAGGAATGCTTTATTGAGGAAGTGACATTGAAACAATCTTGAAGAATGAGTAGGTATTAGCTAAGTGAGGGCTAGAGTTTTGGGGGCCAGAAGGCAGAATTTTTGGCATAGATGGAACAGCATGTATGAAGATCCCAAGTTATGTGTGATTTTGAGTCTTTTGAAAACTAGAAGGTAAGTAAACCTTTGTGGGAGAAAGGTTTACGCCTGGGGACAGGCGTGTCTGTGCTGCCTGGAGAAATTTAACCTCATCTTTGAAGTCTCCAAAGGACTGAAGCAAAGGTAGCGACTCTTAAGTGGCAAATAGAGTAGAATGAAAGTCAGATAGACATTACAGGGCTGTCTCAGGAGTTCAGATTAAAGATAATAGTACCTTGGATTGTATGGTTTCAGCATTGGAGATAAGAGAGTGAGTATGCATCCTCCAGGGGAAAATAGACATTACTTGTTGGTTTATTGGAGCGGAAGTGTCAAGAGGACAGTAAGATTTCTTACATGAGCAGTGGTGATGATACCCTTCACTGGAATGAGAAACGGTATGTGAAGCTTAAGATTATGAGCTCAAATATGATATTCCTATTTTATGAAAACTAGAAGACATCCAAATGGAGATTTTAGATGGGCGATTTAGATGAGTGTTCTAGTGTGTACTGCTCAGGAGGGAGACTGGCCCTGAAGATGAAAATGTGAGAGTTGGGGCCATGTGGAGGGATTCTGAAGCCATTTGTGTCTTAAGAATCAATATTACACATCTAGAGGGCATCATGAGTCAGACAGAGGTAAATACTGTATAAACTGAAATCTGTGTAGTCAGATCTGGAATCTAAGAAACAAAGCAAAGTGACAGCATACGCAAATGTGTAGTTGCCAGAGGGAAGGGGGCTGGAGAGCTGGGCCAAATAGGTGAAGGGGATTAAGAGATACGGACCTCCAGTTATAAAATAAATAAGCCATGGGGGTGTAATATAAGGTACAAGGGATATAGTAAAAGAATTGTAATAGGGACTTCCCTGGCGGTCCAGTGGTTAAGACTGTGCTTGCACTCCGGGGGGCACAGGTTTGATCCCTGATTGGAGAACTAGGGTTCACATGCCGTGTGGTTTGGTCAAATAAAAAAATTGTAATAGCTTTGTATGGGCACAGATATTTACGAGACTTATTGTGGTGATCACTTTGCAGTGTATGAAAATGTCAAATCCCTATGTAGTACACCTGGAATTAACGTAATATTGTACATGTCAACTATATTTCAATTAATAGGAAGAAGTCGATGTTATTTGGATCAGCAAAATATTTTTTTCTTAGACATAATTTTTGCCACATGGTTTCAAAATACACATGTCATTCTGCATGATTTTAATACACTCAGGGACACTTATTCTCCCCTCTTAAGTAACATCCCTCTAACACAATAATGTAAGGGAGAATAAAATGCATTAACTGAACCTACTTTATAACACTAATTGCTTGTACTTATCTGTTCTTGAATAGATATTTAGAAATTTATTATAATGGACTCTTCTGCATTCTGTGCCCCCAGAGAATGTATTTTGATGGTAATTTATTGGAATATTTGATTGGTTAAATAATTTCTTATGTCAGGCAATTTTGTAAATAACTTGTCCCCGCCCCCAAGGAATCGGGTTAAGGGTGAAAATTTTTTTTATAATAATTATCATCTAATTTGTTGCTTTAAAGAGCCCTACTTTGTATATGCCTAATTGTTCATTTCATCAAATGTGTATGAAATCTTTCACATCAAAGGCTCTGAAACATGAAATGTGTTAACTCATGATAATTTAAACACGATTTTGTTGTGTCTATGTGATTTCTACTAAAGATATTGCTACGGATTTATTTTTTTTAAAGAAACACTTCAAATGTTCCACAATATTATAAAAACTATAGTATCTGTATTACTTACAGATTGACATAAATTATGAGAGAAGCACAGTAAGCAAAAAAGAAACTCTTTCTGCACAACTTTGAAGGAATTAATAAGCATATGAATAGGAAAGTAGTTAGAGACTTCCAGTTTGTTATAGATGTAACATGACCTAAACTATGGCGAGACTTACTCGTGAAATAAATTCACACTTTAAAGAGCTCATTTTGTGACTTCACTGATAAAATTGAAACCTCTGCTGAATTGAATTATCTGTCTAAAAATACTCTGTAGTGATTTAAAATACTGGTAAAATTGCAGTATTTTTTTTTTAACCTGCAGTTTCTCAAATATCATCACCTTTTTTACTTTACTGATTTACTTAGTAAGCCTAGGGTCTGATGCTGACTAATTCATGAGTTGACTTGTTTTGCATATATATCCAGACCCATAGAACTAAATAGTTCTTATGTGCTTCCAGGAAATTTATGGATATGCATTATTTCTCAATTTGTAAATTTATTTGGAAAAGAATGCCTTTTTTGTGTAATCATATTGTCATGTAGCTTGTGCCATTACTCATCTTGTGTTCTGTTTTCTTTGTCCTGAAGGAATTGCCTATGACCCTTTGATGCTGAAACACCAGTGCATTTGTGGCAATTCCACCACCCACCCTGAGCATGCTGGGCGAATACAGAGCATCTGGTCACGGCTGCAAGAGACTGGGCTGCTAAGTAAATGTGAGGTAATCCTGAATTGGCCACACTCTCTTACTTACTTAAATAAATCATGTAAGGAGGCCAGTACTCATTTGGGTAGTTGTAGAAAAATGTTAGCTCTACAGCAGAAACACCATGATTGATGAACCATCGTGGGCACTAGTAACGTATAACCTGACGCTGGGCTGGACGCACAGTGGGGACTCAGTCTGTGTTGATGGGCCGAGCAGCTGCCTGATGTGTGTGCCATTACTGTAGTGGTTTTTTTTTTTTTTTTTTGTACACACGGAACTATTCTTGTTTCCAAATAGGTATCGTTTATTGAGTTAATTTTCTGAGAAGCTCTTCGAATCTAGTTAGAAGCTACATAGTTGTTATTTCTTACAGTAAGCAATACTCTGAACTCACATATATGCCAGTTTTGCCTCATGGAAATGGAATAGTTTTAAAAGATTAACTGTCTCTTAAAAGTTTTAAAAGATTACCGGGAAGAGTCACTTCTTTTTATTGGTGTTTAGATTCATTTCTGTAGATTCTTGTGAGTCTTAATATTTTTTTTTAAAGAAAAGTCTGGCTTATTGAGGCTTTTAAAAGTTAAAAGTAAAAATGATACCAGGTCAGAACTCCCTTTGTCATATTTGCAAAATATGTAACAACCAGCAGTTGGTTGATTTAGCTGCTATAAATGTCCATTGTTGCTTAAGATCCAGTAACAGTCTATATTTGAGTCTAAAACTTTTTTAAAAGAAAAATATTCTCTATGTGTTATTTTGCATTACCTTAGGATTTATTGATCAAAAGCACTTTTTCCTGCATCTATACTTTTTCCAGATGTGTTCTAGGGACTAGAATTATGGACAGACATGGTCCCTATTCTTATAGACTGATCATTTGACATATTACTATTTGGTTCCTACATATTACTATTTGGTTCCTTTGCCTTTCTCTATAAGAGCAGTGAAGGAACTCTAGTTCTCACCAGTTTGGGAAGCAAGTAAGTGGATAATATTTTGACCATAGTTATGTCATGAGGAAACTAATAACATTGAAACCACATTAAATTCACTATTCTTAAAATAGTGAATAGTGATAAAGACAGTCTCTTGTGACTACTTTTGAATTAATTGATTTTGACAACCGAAAATGTGGTCAAGAAAATTCCATTCAAAGCCTATATACTTTAAAGTGAACCTGAAAAATATTTCAGTGGAAATAAAGATGTCAAAGTCAAGTACACTTGACTCTATTTGATAACGAACATTAGTTCTGTCTGATCTTTTTTCTCTTCAAAGTGGCAAAAATAACTGACTTTGGAAGATGCAAAGTCATTCATTCATTCAATGTGTTCACTTCTAAGGATAAATTCTTTTCTTTATTGATTTTTCTCTTTTGGAGATGAACTATGTATCTTGTCTTACAGGGGAATTAAATGGTCATTTTCTTTACATCAACACACAGATGATGTTGATGGGTCATTAAGCAGTGTCGATATTGTGAATGAATATGCCAGAGTAGTGTATACAGATTTAGTTTCACAAGCTTTATTATATGTTGGTAATAGAATTACCAAATGCCCTTCATATTTAGAGTTCTGCTTTTGAGTAAGTGTATCCTTTACCTAGAAACTCAGAAGTGAAAGAATTTCAGCTAGATTTATTTCTATGGTTCTTTCTTGAGTGAAAGTCTATTATTCATATTTTGCCAGTAGCACCCATATTACGTGGCAGAAGGTTTCATATTCTTTGGTAAGTTTTAGAGTTATATCAGTGTTTTTGATAATGCAGGTTGGAAGCCAGATCACTCTATTAGAGTCTGCACAATCCCATATGAAGCCAGTAAAGTAAGCCATCAAGGAGACTTTGTAGTAGGTTGGCCTTCATGGGTATTTATTCATGAGAGCGTTCCTGTCTCACCTTTGCATCTACTACAGATGTTTTCTAGCTTGGCAGTCTCTCTGTGCTCTTGCAAGCTGAGGTATTGCTGTTTCCATTTTTTCACTTTCCAGTCTTTGTTATATCCTAAGCCTAGCCTCAACCACTCCAAATAATCAGTGTCTGATCACAGCTTCAATGTACTGTTAGGTTGTGGTGTTCCTTCAATCTTTTACCTGAAGGAATACTGTTTATAAAAGCAGCAAAGTACAGAAGTAAATGGGATGTAATATGATTCATATTGGTCTTAAAATTTTAGAAGTTTGTTACCTGTTTCTGATCAGTCTTTTTTTCCCCAGTTCCTGGTACATCACATTCTTTTGGTCTTGTATTATTTGTAACCATGACGTTCAACTTATACAGCAGCACTAACTGATGTGTGTCAGACCCATGATGAAATATTAGAAGGACTGTGACTCTTTGTGACCCCATGGACTGTATTCTCCAGGCCAGAATACTGGAGTAGGTAGCCTTTCCCTTCTCCAAGGGATCTTCCCAACCCAGGGATCGAACCCAGGTCTCCTGCATTGCAGGTAGATTCTTTACTTGCTGAGCCATAAGGAAAGCCCAGAAAGACTGTAGGGTTGACAAAAATGAGTGGGTCTATTCCAGTTCAGTCAGCTAAATAAGTGTCTCTCTAGCAAATAATCAACGACTTCCCAGGGGCTCAGTGGTAAAGAATCTGCCTGCCAATGCAGGACGCGGGTTCAGTCCCTGAGTTCAATCCCTTCCTGGGTCAAGAAGACCCCCTGGAAGAGGAAATGGCAACCCACTCCAGTATTCTTGCATAGGAAGTCCTGTGGACAGAGGAGACTGGCAGGCTACAGTCCATGGTGTCCCAAAGAGTCAGATACACCACGCCTGTGGGTTAACAGCATACTAGCAAACAATCATGCAGTTAACAAATAATGTACTTGAAAGCCCAGATCAGCAGACTGGCTTTTAATGAAGACCAAGCACAAAAGTCTGATCCAAAACATCAATAATGCAAACAGAAGCCCCTTTTCCTAACATAGTTGAAGAGCAGTTTGTCAGGTGTTTGCTTTCTGAAGTGATGCAGTTGTTGCCTATGTGTATTTATTTGCTCCTGTGTTATGAAAATATCTATGACTTGAACTGACCCAATCCAAAATGCGCAGTGAAATTTCTAAAGCCATTAAAAACCCGTTACTAATTTTAAGACACCTAAGAATTTAATATTCCTTTGGCTTGTGTGAATAACTTGAGGAATATTCAAAGTGGAATCTTAAAAATTATTAAGTAAAAAAATGTAGCCTTTCTCTAGAGACTTTCATTTATATCAGAAACAAAAGGGATAACACATACAACTGAAAGAAACATGACTTATTTTCACTTCCTTATTTTTTCTATCAGAAGTGGGGGGGAGAGGAAAAAGGGAACATACAGAGGTTGTTCTAGGCTATTTTAACTCACTTGGAAATAGTAGAATCTATTTCCTTAGCCAGTACTCTCCCCAGTAAATGCAGCTGAAATATTTGATGCATGTTTGTTGTGGATTTTCTTTTAAAGATTTTTATTTGACAAGTTAATTCTAATATACACATTTTAAAATATATTACTCTCTTGCAAAGAGGCTAGCCTTTCCCTCAAAATTATTTTGAAAATGTCAATGCTGTGGGGGCGGGGGGAGGGAACCCCAAACAGACATACCACAAACCTTTTAGCGATTCAGCAAAACTTACTACACTTGGTTTCTGAAAAACTAGGAGAAAATCACGCTGTAGTTGGCAAGTGGTTGGATCCATGTATAAGTTGCTTCAGTCACGTCTGACTCTTTGCATGGACTGTAGCCCACCAGGTTTCTCTGTCCTGGGATTCTCCAGGAAGGAATACTGAAGTGGGTTGCCATTTCCTCCTCCAGGGGATCTTCCTGATTCAGGGATCAGACCCATGTCTCTTATGTCTCCTGCCTTGGTAGGTGAGTTCTTTTACCACTTGCGCCACCCCGGAAGCCTGGTTGGATCTGTTGTGGGTACATTATCTGGTTGAAGAGGCAGGAAGTTTCCTATATTAACAAGCTTCCTAGTTAGTGTTTATAAGGCTGCTAAAGCGATCAAGCCCAATGACGATGCCTTTCTATATTTTTAACATATGTTTATTTATTTGTCTGCACTGGCTCTTAATTGCAGCATGCAGGACCTTTAGTTGTGGCATGTGGAACCTAGTGCCCTGACTAGGAATTAAGCCCAGGACCCTTGCATTGAATGTGTGGAGTCTTAGCCACAAAGCTGCCAGGGAAGTTCCAACAATTAGAAGTGTCTTTTAATTAGACTTATTAACTCCAAAAGAAGTTAGGTTCTAGCTTGAGTGTTAATGAATATTTACCATATAGCCCAAGGACTTAAGGAGAATCGGGCCTTTCTAAGTTGTCTAGGTAGGACTAAGGGGAATTTAAAATCCAGATCTGTTCCTTGGTTATGTCTGAACCGTGCATTCCTGAGAGTGAAAACGGTTGTGTCCGGGATGCCAGGGGTTTAAGAACTGGCCCTGGTGTGTAGGTCATTGCTCTCTCCTTAGCAGTGTGGACAAATTTGTCTCTTAGTTGTGAGAAACAAGAACTTAGTTGTCTCAAAAGAGAGAAAGTCTCTTAGATTTTATAGAAAGGGATATAGTAGAATAGAAATATAACACACTAGCTGGGTCAGTATATTGTTTCTCAGTATCTAGATAGCAGTTTGCCTTCTTTCAGCAGCATTTTCCTGCCAGGTTTGTGTAGCCACCCATAGTTACTGGGTGAAATTGACAGCGCTCTGGGGACATAAAGCTGAGCATGAGGAGAATCCTGTGGCTAGGTAAGTGGCATTTGTTGATTGATTTTAGGGATGCTTAAGTGTTGGCCTTATATCAGAATCACCTGAGAGAATGTTGAGATACGGATTGTTGGGCTCCAGCCCCAGAGTTTCAGATTCGGCAGGAGTGAGGTGCTACTGTAGCGGGCAGTCCAGAATTTGTATTTCTTCAGTGTGTCTGTGCAATCCTGATATTGCTGATCTGGGTACCACACTTTGAGAACAGTGATCTATCCCTTCAGCAGTCTTTATCAAGAATTTTCATTTCCCAGTCTCCTGTGTTTC